TAAATAAATAACAAAGCGTATCAAGGGCAAATATGAGTTGTGTAAATAATTGTATTTAAACACGATATAATTGTCTCGGAGTTAAAAAAATATGGGGACTGTTTATGGGATGAAACTCATAAGATATGCAAAAATGATATTCTGCGAAAAGAACACTGGTAAACATTTTCTCTGACGATATCTGACCTTTTAGATCTGACTAATTCAAAGTCTCAGGGCTCTAGCTTCTTTAAATATTTATTTATATTTAAGTAATAGGTTGAGCAGATTAATAGGAATATCACAGGATTTATTTCCTTTAATTTTGTGGTTCAAGGTAGTAACAGACTGAACAAAAACGGATGGCTCTTTACTGATTCTAGTCTCAACTACTACTCGAAATGCTAGGTACAGGCTGCAGACCGGCCTCTGGACCAAGCAACAAAAAACACCGTTTCCAGTTTTGTGACGTACTGATGTCGGCCAATGGAAAACGCCCAGCAAGTAACTATATATTTATACAATCTTTATTATACGCCTTATAATAAGGGAATATAAAGGGCGAACTTATGCCTTATGGCATTTTCTACCCGTTTATCCTAACTTGCTCTCTCTACTAGTCTACATTGAAACTATGTACAGATCGTCACTTAGCTAGTAAGAGGGCCCCAACCCTGGCAGGAGATCTGCACGAATCGTAGGGCGATGTAGAGCCGTCACAATACACGGACAATAGCGCCTACTTCACATCGTCCAGAAGAGACCACAACGCCGCTGCCAGGATGCAGCATCTGCGGGACGTCTTACCACCACGGCAGGACGAGTGGAGGATGGCCAACAATATTGGTAAGACGACCGGCCTGCTCATCCGCTGCCTCTGGAACCAATCATCACCATTTACGCTCAGAGGCCGAGAGATCCCGTAAGCTACCATGGATGCTTGATCGACAGAATGCTGCGTATGACTGCGCACGTCGTCGTTCTTAATACCAGAGGTGTACGGCGAATCAGAGGCTAACGAATCTTAGTCCCGTCCTAGCATCCAAACTACCTCTATATATATAAAGCCTTAATTCCGAAAGACCGAATCTAACATACGCTGCTCCGGCCTGGTACGCACTCTTGGGCGATCAACAGAGGCAGCGATTGCAGGCCCAACAGAATCTATCCCTACAGACCATCGTCGGTGAGGACGCTTCGTCCTGAATGAAGTAATTGCGGCCAACCTGAAAATGAAGACGTGGCGTGGCATGTTTGACCGCAATGACAACGAACATCTTAACTAACTGAATCTAATCTAATCTAATCGAGAACTGCGAGAACACATACCAGAGTTAACAAAAGATGAAAACAATAATGTGCTGTTAAAGAAAATCTGCAATATTGTAGTGTATTTCAAAAGATCACCATTGAAAAATGAAACAGTACTTCAAAAATATGTGAAAGTTGAACATGAAAAAGAACTGTCTCTGCAACTGCTCGGGGAAAGCTGAGCAACAAGACCAAGGCGACCCCTGCCACGCTATCCGTGAATTTCTGCAATATCAGGGGACTTCATTGTAACCTAAACGCCGTCCACTACCATCTCGAGACTCCGAGGCCGGCTCTGCTCTTTCTTGCTTGTGTTTTGGTGCCGCTCGGGTTTTTCCGCGGTAGGGGGCAGGCTTTTCGGGTCTTGCTTGCTTCCGTGGTCCCCGCGTGATATTGACCCCCCCGCCCGAGCGCCGGTTCTGGCTGTTAGCGCCTTGGTTTGTGTTTGTCTACACAGCTTCCCTGTTGGACCTTCTGCTGACCTCTCATCCGGACGGATATAAGATTTCCGTTGACGCCCCTTAAGACTCCTCGGATCATTGTCTTGTCCGGAGTGTGGTGCCTCTCTCTGAACTCACGCTGAAATCGCGGTTGCAATCTGCAGGCTACCGCCGTGTTTGGCACTATAGGTCAGCAGATTGGGATAGGATGCGGTTTTTCTTTGCATCCTACCCTTGGGGGTGGGTTTGCTTCTCGCTGGACAATCCCACCGTTGTTGCTGATTCTGTCGGTAATGTTTTTCTTCCTTCCTCTGTGGTGCCCATCGGAGGCAAATCTCAGCCATGGCTTTGTCGCTCCTGTAAAATAGCATCATGCTATAAGCAAGAGTGCTACCAAGCCCGGGCTGACACATCAACACCTCGGGATGTAAACACCAGCGCTCTAAAAAAGAAGTACAATTCCGCTTCCAGGTCCTTCAAAAGAATCATTGCCAAGGCAAAGTCAGAGCACATAACAGAATTGGCGAGAAACTAGTTCGCCTTCCTTCTGGAACCCGTGCATTCTGGTCTCTCGCCAAGGCTGTCCAGGGGAATTTCTGTCAGCCATCTCTTCCATCTCTGCACAGGGAGGACGACTCACTGGCCCATACCGCAAAGGAGAAAGCCGATCTTCTAGGCGCAAGTCAGTTCAAAAAGATTTTGCATCTAACTCGACTCTCGATGGCGGGGGGAGTACGCCACCGACCATCCCGCGGTGTGAGTGCGCCATGCCAGAAGTGCGATTCACACAGCGCTTGGTTCACAAAGCACTCCTCTCCCTGGTCATCCACAAGTAGAGTGGGACTGACGGTATCCCCCAATTGTGCTGAGGACGTGTGCTCCAGAGTTGGCACCGGTCTTAATGCGTCTATAGTCCGTTATTCCTACTATCTAGGCCTAGTCCCAAAATCATGGAAGACGGCTTTTGTCCACCCGATCCCTAAAAAAGGCGATCGCTCAGATCCGTCCAACTACAGGCCCATCGCCATCACCTCTTTGTTCTCCAAAACAATGGAGTCCATTGTAAACTGCCAGCTCATGAGGTACATTGAGGATCACTAGCTGATTAGTGATCGCCAATACGGTTTTATTCGTGGTCGATCAGCTGGTGATCTTCTGGCCTACCTGACTCATAGATGGGCGGCGGCAGTAGAGTCCAAGGGGGAGGCATTGGCCGTTAGTTTGGACATTGTGAAGGCCTTCGATCGGGTTTGGCACAAAACGCTTCTTTCGAAGCTCCCTTCCTATGGGCTTCCCGAGAAATTGTGCAATTGGATCACCAACTTTCTTACAGATTGGAGCATCAAGGTCGTTGTAAATGGCGCAAGCTCCAATTACAAGCCTATTAATGCTGGTGTTCCACAAGGCTGCATGCTGTCACCAACGCTGTTTCTTCTGCATATCAATGATATGTTGCAAGCCCGTAACATTCATTGCTATGCAGATGACAGCACTGGTGATGCTCTTTACACCGGCCGTGCCAATATTTCTCGGGAAAACGTCTCCGAGTACCGGGACAAACTTGTGCCTGAAGTTGAGTCTTTGCTGAACAAAATCTCGGATTGGGGGCGACTAAATCTAGTTTAACCTCCGAAAACACAAGTTTGCGCGTTGACGGCTAAAAAGAACCCCTTTGTCGTATCCCCTCAGTTTCAAGGCACTCCCCTTATTGCCTCAGCCAGTATCGGAATCCTCGTCGTCGACATATCGAGTGACGTGTAGTTTCGTGGCCACTTGTAAGAGAAGATCAAATTGGCCTCAAAAAAGCTTGGCGTGCTCAGCAGAGCGGGACAGTATTTCATGCCGGCACACCGCCTGCAACTTTACAAGGCGCACGTTCAGCCGCACATGGAATACTGTTACCATCTCTGGGCTGGGGCTCCCCAGGCCAGCTCCTTCCACTTGGCCGCATCCAGTCCAGAGCGGCTCGAATCGTCGACGACCGAGTGCATTCCGGTCGGCTCGATTCACTGGCGCTGCGAAGAGACGTTGCATATCTTTGCATATTTTATCGCATCTATCACGGGGAGTGCTCTGAGGAATTGTTCGGATTAATCCCAGCTGCCAAATTTCATGAACGCACTACGCGGCAAACCTCCCGATACCATCCACACCATCTGGATGCTTGGCGGTCCACCACTGTACGTTTCACTAGAAGTTTTCTTCCGCGTACGACCTCTCTGTGGAATAGTTTACCACCGGCGATTTTTCAGGACCGATACGACCTGAGGATCTTTAAGAAAAGAGTTTACTCCTTTCTAAAGGTAAATTAATCGAAGTTGGCAAATAGTAATAGACGTGAAATGAGTCTATTCGAAAATGGAGGAGTTCGTGGATATCACTTAGAAACAGCATAAAAGTATCCATTGTCTATTCCTCCAACCAGCGTAGAACCTGAGCCAGCGTTTTCAGCTGCGGCTTATGTTGACAATAAACTACGAAGCAGGCTTGGAAGTCAAACATTGGACGCTTTGATATTCCTCTTCTTGTAAATAGTTTTTTGTGTTGTCTTTTTGATTCTTTGCAAAAGTATAGTTTTTTTTTTTCTCTATTTTTTTCTCACTATATTGTGATTTGTGTTGTGCGAAGATATTAAAAACATTTTTTAAGGAATTACATAAGTTTTTTTTCAGTTGAGCCCAATTAGTAACCACATAGTCCAATCCTAGAATAGCCCCGGAATCCCGGAATTACTCATCAAAAATCCCGTAATCCCGGGATTAAAAACATGCTTAGTATTGTATTATCTAGTCATATGTGTATGACTATAATATTATGTAGACTATTCACAGATACCTACGATTTGTATACCAAATTCGTAACGCTTTATTTTTATCCTCATAGCGAATTCTTCGTTCTTAAATAATATTATGTAGGATGTGGGTGTATAAAAATAGCAACAAAGATTTAAAAAAAACATTTATTTAAAATTAAATTAACACAACTAAATATGTAAATTTATTCAAGAATTATAATATGTAGGTAACGAGTCACGAAATTATTTACACGCATTTGTTATAACGTGGTTTTATAGCAGCAGACAAGTTCATATCTTAACTGGATTGGGTACTATGAAAAGTGAAAGTACCTAACGTGCTATAACCATTCAGCCATGTGTCAAGGACAAAATTCTGTCCAAGGAAGTATACACTTAACTCGGATGAAAATACCCATATAAAAATAATTACAACTCTGTAGTTCTTATTTTAAAAATGTTATTAAATTTTATTTTTAAATTTCTTGCGGCATACGTATACACTTCTCCCAGTAACGGTTCATCGTTCTGTATCTGTGCATGTTCACACCGGCCAGACTGTGCGCCTCATCTGGGTATGACTGTAAAACATAAAACATGCTAAATTTACAAAAAAAAATTTTTCATGACACGATGTCAGAAACCCTCCATCTAAATTATCAAGTTTGTTATCGTTAGTGGAATTTTTCAATCATATATATAATTTTGACTCATTTTATACCTATTTCATGTTAATGTTTTATTTATATTTTTCTGAACAATCCTTTTGATGATCGTGGTGGCAGCAATTTTAAGTATTTTCCCTTTAAAATGTATTAAAGGATATTTTTGTATATTATGAATAACGTAATTCTGATAAACTTTCTTTAATTTATACAACATAATTCGAATTCGTAATGTTTTGTGATTTTTTTCTAAGCGATACTTTTAGAGATAGATGGGGACAATACGACGACTCCGTGGCGTAGTGGCTTAGCAATGAGTGGCTGCGCTGGGGGCCGCGGGTTCGAATCCCACACGATTTGTATGGCCTACAAGTAATTGTTCCGAGTCTGGATGTTTGTCCTTGTGCAATTTATGTTTGTAAACTGCCCCCACGATACATGAGAAAATCCTAGTGTAGGGGTAACGTTTAAAAAAATTAAAAAAATGTCGCCATAACATTTTTTTAAATATTTACTCTTAATTTCGATCCCTATCCACCAGAACTAAATTCGAATTTTGAGCCTCACGCCTGTCTGACTAACCTCACGTTTGTATTTGCCTAACCGTATTTTATAACAATATCGAATTTCAGTCATCCACCTGAGATAGTATAAAATTGTCTGTACGGACAGACAGGCATATGTTCGTTCAATTCACAGACTAGATAGAGAAACTGACGTTTCAGACCGCCATGTCACGTATCTTTGAACCGTATGCAAGAATTGAATATGACTTTTTTATACTTATAAATGTAACGTAATGCACTCTGAAACACAACACTTTCGAAACATTTTCCGAAATTTCACCCTGATATTGCTTTATTTGTGGATTTAACAGTGGTAGAGCCACGCGGCAGCTTTGCTGTTGCACGTATGGGCCGGCTCAAACCGGGGTGGTACCACGACCTCACAGAATACCGGCGTGAGTGGAAGCTCTGCTTCCGCGTTTCGTCTGGTGAGTGCAGGTGGCCGGAGGCCCAAATCCCCCCCCCCCCATCAACATGGTAGCGGAATTAAATAATGATCGACTACCCCAGGAGGGTACCAGCACCCCTGGAGAATCCCTCGCTGAGCATCCACGACCATGTTTCTCCACTTCTGAGCGTGGGTGCTCAGGCTGCCCCGCGTATTCTGGGGGGGGGGGGGGCAAAATTCCGCTCAAGACTACAACTGCTCGGAGCAAACGGAGCAACAAGACCAAGGCGACCCCTGCCACGCTGTCCGTGAATTTCTGCAATATCAGGGGACTTCACTCTAACCTAAACGCCGTCCACTACCATCTCGAGACGGCGAGGCCGGCTCTGCTCTTTCTGACCGAGACGCAGGTGTCCTCTCCGGCTGATGTCTCGTATCTCTCCTACCCGGGGTACAAACTGGAACACTCCTTTGTGCCTCGGGCTGGAGTTTGCGTTTACGTCAGAGAGGACATCTGCTCTCGACGCCTCGGCAGACTTGAAGGTTCGGACCTGTCCATCCTTTGGCTACGCGTAGACAGCGACGACCATCCGCGCGTCTACGGGTGCCTTCTATAGGTCCCATAGCGGTAATGCCGAAACAGACCGACTCGTTCTCGACGTCCAAATGGCTGCAGATTCGTTGCTACAGCAGATCCCCTCCGCAGAGATCGTGATCCTTGGCGACTTTAACGCCCATCACGCCGAATGGCTTGGTTCACGTTTAACCGATCATGCGGGGAGATCTGTTCATGATTTTGCCTTGGCATATGGTCTGACACAACTGGTTACTTCGCCTACGCGGATTCCAGATGTGGAGGATCATGCACCTTCCCTGTTGGAACCTTCTGCTGACCTCTCACCCGGACGGATATCAGATTTCCGTCGACGCCCCTTTAGGCTCCTCGGACCATTGTCTGGTCCGGAGTGTGGTGCCACTCACGCTGAAATCGCGGTTGCATTCTGCAGGCTGCCGCCGTGTTTGGCACTATAGGTCAGCCGATTGGGATTGGATGCGGTCTTTCTTTGCATCCTACCCTTGGGGGCGGGTTTGCTTCTCGCCGGATGATCCCAACGTTGTTGCGGATTCTGTTGCTGATGTGGTACTTCAGGGTATGGAACTTTTTATTCCTTCCTCTGTGGTGCCCATTGGAGGCAAGTCTCAGCCATGGTTTGGTCGCTCCTGTAAAATAGCATCATGCTATAAGCAGGAGTGCTACCAAGCCTGGGCTGATGCATCAGCGTCCCGGGATGTAAACACCAGCGCTCTAAAAAAGAAGTATAATTCCGCCTCTAGGTCCTTCAAAAGAGTCATTGCCAAGGCAAAGTCAGAGCACATAGGCAGAATTGGCGAGAAACTAGTTCGCCTTCCTTCTGGAACCCGTGCATTCTGGTCTCTCGCCAAGGCTGTCCAGGGGAATTTCTGTCAGCCATCTCTTCCATCTCTGCACAGGGAGGACGACTCACTGGCCCATACCGCAAAGGAGAAAGCCGATCTTCTAGGCTCTTTCTTTGCGTCTAACTCGACTCTCGATGACGGGGGGAGTACTCCGCCGACCATCCCGCGGTGTGAGTGCTCCATGCCGGAAGTGCACTTCACACAGCGCTCGGTTCGCAAAGCACTCCTCTCCCTGGACATCCACAAGTCGAGTGGGCCTGACGGAATCCCCCCAATTGTGCTGAGGACGTGTGCTCCAGAGTTGGCACCGGTTTTAACGCGTCTTTTCCGGTACTCCTACTCCCTAGGCGTAATCCCAAAATCATGGAAGACGGCTTACGTCCACCCGATCCCTAAAAAAGGCGACCGCTCTGACCCGTCCAACTACCGGCCAATCGCCATCACCTCCTTGTTCTCCAAAACAATGGAGTCCATTGTAAACTGCCAGCTCATGAGGTACCTTGAAGATCACCAGCTGATTAGTGACCGCCAATACGGTTTTCGCCGTGGTCGGTCAGCTGGTGATCTTCTGGTCTACCTAACTCACAGATGGGCGGAGGCAGTAGAGTTCAAGGGGGAGGCATTGGCCGTTAGTTTGGACATTGCGAAGGCCATCGATCGGGTTTGGCACAAAGCGCTTCTTTCGAAGCTCCCTTCCTATGGGCTTCCCGAGAAATTGTGCGATTGGATCACCAGCTTTCTTGCAGATCGGAGCATCAAGGTCGTTGTAGACGGTGCAAGCTCCGATTGCAAGCCTATTAATGCTGGTGTTCCACAGGGCTGTGTGCTATCGCCAACGCTGTTTCTTCTGCATATCAATGACATGTTGCATACCCGTAACATTCATTGCTATGCAGATGACAGCACTGGTGATGCTCTTTACACCAGCCGAGCCAATATTTCTCGGGAAAACGTCTCCGAGTGCCGGGACAAACTTGTGTCTGAAGTCGAGTCTCTGCTGGACAGAGTCTCGGATTGGGGGCGACTAAATCTAGTCCAGTTTAACCCCCAGAAGACACAAGTTTGCGCGTTAACCGCTAAAAAGAACCCCTTTGTCGTATCCCCTCAGTTTCAAGGCACTCCCCTTGTTGCCTCAGCCAGTATCGGAATCCTCGGCGTCGACATATCGAGTGACGTGCAGTTTCGTGGTCACTTGGAAGGGAAGGCCAAATTGGCCTCTAAAAAGCTTGGCGTGCTCAGCAGAGCGGGACAGTATTTCATGCCGGCACACCGCCTGCAACTTTACAAGGCGCAGGTTCGGCCGCACATGGAATACTGTTCCCATCTCTGGGCTGGGGCTCCCCAGTACCAGCTTCTTCCACTTGACCGCATCCAGCGCAGAGCGGCTCGAATCGTCGACGACCGAGTGCTTTCCGATCGGCTCGATTCACTGGCGCTGCGAAGAGATGTTGCATCTCTTTGCGTATTTTATCGCATCTATCACGGGGAGTGCTCTGAGGAATTGTTCGGATTAATCCCAGCCGCCAAATTTCGTGAACGCACTACACGTCAAACGTCCCGATACCATCCACACCATCTGGATGCTTGGCGGTCCACCACTGTACGTTTCACAAGGAGTTTTTTTCCACGTACAACCTCTCTGTCGAATAGTTTACCACCGGCGATTTTTCCGGACCGATACGACCTGGGGACCTTCAAGAAAAGAGCTTACTCCTTTCTAAAGGGCCGGCAACGCACCCGCAATTCTCCTGGTGTTGCGGTTGATCATGGGCGGCGGTACTCACTTAACATCAGGTGAGCCACATGCTCGTTTGCCCCTTCTTCTATAAAAAAAAATTTAAAGATGATCGAAGCAAGCACTTTTATCAACACGAAATTAGCAATGACGGGTGAGTGACATTGACATCACAAAATGGCACGTTTGCAGTTTGCGGGGGTGAAGAAGGCTAAAGAGAGGCGCGGAACGTCAGATTCAATTCTTGCAATGTCATTCTATACGAACCATTTTTTTTTTGTTAGGACATTACCTGGCGTGGTTCAATTTAACACGGTTCACTATAATTATGATATTATTTTTAAATCTCGCCTAGCCTTGACTGGTGCAGAGTATGTTATAACATAATTGTAAACGGGTTTTTTTTTTATTTCACGATGCGTAAAGTTTAACGGTATCCGGACCTGGATGACATTGAAAAGTGAGTAATTATAATGACGTTTACAAACGTACTCTGTTTAATGTAAGTGAAACTTGCGCAAACAGATATTTTGTTCCGCTTGAGTGCCACCATCTGACACTCGAGCGATCAGTAAATTATTTACGCACGCACACTCTATTTCACAGCTTTCAATTTTCCTCTCTTTTTGCATTGCATTTCAAATATTTTATTGTTATACGCCACAGTCATTAACCAAACTGTAATGCTTGCTGCAATTATTGTCTTGATGTGTGATATGAATAATGAATACATGAAAGTATTTACGTTGCCAATTTCTTGTCGGTTTTAATCATAAAACGAAATTAATTA